GTAGTTGTGTCTGTAGTGGTGGTTGTTGTAGTTGTGTCTGTAGTGGTAATTGTTGTCGTACTTGTGGTGGTGGTTGTTGTAGTTGTTGTTTTACTCATTGATGTTGTACTTGTCTTAGTTGTTGAGGTGGTCTTTTCTGTAGTGTTGGTTGTAGTTGTTGTTCTTTTTGTCGTTGTTGTTGCTCTTTTTGTCGTTGTTGTTGTTTTTTTTGCCGTTGTTGTTGTCGTTGTTGTGGATGACTTTGTCATTTCTATATTAAACAAGGATATTTAATGAGATTTTCTTCATAATTTACCGCTTCTCTGTCTATTAATAGTGTATGTGGCTTTAAAAATATTTATATGGATTACGCCGAGTCTTCTTCTATAATATTTATTCATAACTATGCTTCTACTGAAATAACTGAAATAAATTAGTAGATACAGCAGTAGTTTAGTGCTGAAATCTTTTTGAAAATCTCACAGTAGGTCAACTGATATCACTATCAAAGATTTCGAAAAGATGATAAATTTTACCAATAATAAAACTCATGAAACGGATATTTTAGTTACCAATCGAAAATATAGTACTGTTGTTTATTGTTATAATCAATACGATAACAAATAAATTCTTTCATAAATCCTGTATCATATATGTAATTATCTATAAAATATCTAAGCAAACGCGTTTCTTCTCTGGAGACTATTTTGATCTCATTTATCAGATTCTGTTTAACGTCGATAATAATATTGAAAATGTGGTTGTAGTCTTATCACATCTTGTTCTGATACGCATTTACTTAACTGATTAGTAGCAAATTTTTAAAGACTGATAATTAATAGGATGACCTAGTACAAAACCAGCTACCAGAACAAAATGATTTAACGTGATACTATCAGAAAACTCTGTCTTTCTACTTGAGCATGTAATTCCGACTTCATAAAATCCAGAACTAGTTTGATAAGCAAACATTAAAAAGCTATCATATATGCGTTTACATTAAAAATTATAAAACTCGCATTGTTAATTCAATAAAATCAAATCTTGAAATTGTACTAGAATATGCTTTAGAAAAATGTTCTTGAAAAACATTGCTTCGTGAGAAATGTTCTCCAGCCTGAATCAAAAACTTCTTATTGGAACCAGACTCCTAACTCTCAGCCTTACATATCAACTAATACTATTGCACATTCGCATTTACATCCTTACATCCTAATTCTCAAGAATACAAATCATAGAAAACATCAAATTTAAATTTTACTGACCAATTGTACACGTTGTACCATTCCATCCGGCAGCACATGCACATGTATCAGGAGCTGTACATGTGCCACCATTGTCGCAGCCATTTGTGCATACAGCTAAAAGAAAAAAAACAGCAATTATTATAATTAACTAAACTCTGAATTTAAGTTACCAGTTTCGCATGTGTCACCAGTCCATTCTGTAGTGCATCCACAAGTTGTGGGACCTGTGCATTCGCCATCGTTTTGACAAACGGTTGTACAAGGTTCTGAAAAAGAATAGAGTTACATATATAAGTTATATTTGTTCCAAAATAAACAACAAAATACAATAGAGTATTTTTTCTCAGCTTTATAATTTTCAGATATAAGAAGTCGACTCTTAAAGAACATTTTGTAGAATTTAATTTTGTAAAATTCATCTGAATGATTCTTTTTTGAGTTTGACATTACTCTCAATAACTGCTTGACAACTTTTGATCTCCTTTTTTATTAGAATAAACATGTCACTGAATGTAGATTTTCACGCTGATCACGAATATCATGTATAAATTTTTGAAAAATCAATTTTTGTCTAACAAGAGAAAATAGTCATTATCTGATCTGAAGCTTCTGCTGTTCTTATAAAAAATTTCAGATTCATATGTTTTCTTAGAATTCGACGTGAACTGGAATCTATTCATTCTAAATTATAATTCGAATAGGGATGCATCCGCGCTACTAGATAAGAGACAAAAAAACAGCTAACTTACGGATAGCAATACCACTGGAACTTTGAGGATTGTTATTCGTGCCATCAGTATAAGACTCCACGTGACATAACTGTACAGGTATGGGGGTTCCATCATCTGCGGTGAGACTAACATCGGTGACACTATTGAATTTTTGATGGATATCGGTAAACATATCGACTTGACAGGACAATGTCTGGCATGATAAAGTTGATGGATAATCCAATGCTACGTCTAAGATGATAGCAACACCTGGACGATCTGTTTTGTCGCATTGAATGCTATATGTATATTCATAGGTAAATATAACTAGCAGAAATTAATTAAAAAGAAAATTACTCGCGACGGCGACGTCGACCTTTGGTAGTGGTTGCTGCTGCACTGCCTATACCGGTGACGTTGATGGAACCTTTGGCAGCACCGAGTGCTTGTGTCAGCTAAAATATATGAAATATTATGAATTAACATCAAAGATAAAAATTACGCAAGAAGCGGTTGTTTGTCGGTTGGTGACGGATTGTGTGGCGCGCTTTCTTGTTAATCCAGATGGTAACATATAAGAGACACTTAACGAAGTAAGTGATTTTTCTAATAAAAATAATGTATGTGCATGATAAAAACAATAAACAAACACTAACTAGCGCCTTGTAATGTTACGATAGCAGCGATGTTGTTGATACTGTTGGTGTTGTTGGGGTTGGTGATGTTAAAGTCGTTGACTGATACGTAGAATGGAATGAGCGAAGTAATAGTCACCCATATGATAGCAGTCAGTACCAGTAAGCAAAAGCCAAGTTTAGAAGGCCTATACAATTATTAAAAGATAACAAAGCTCATTAGAGACACTCAAAACTCACTTTGTACGTTTCAGCCTTACATGAGCCATGGCTTTGACTCAATCGAACGTGCGTTGTCTTGGAATAAAGAAAAGTCTAAAATGAATTTCTATATGAAAATTGTGTGTTGAAGAAAAGTCTGCTCTATATCTGCGGCTCACAAGTTTTTAGTTATAAGCGAAACTCTTGATCACAACTATCATTTTCCTATTTAGAACTATGCATATAGAGACCTCCAACTGGACAAAATCCATTGATACTGTTTGAAAAAAGCTAGCAAACAGTCACAAATTAAGATTAGCTGAGCACCTAACGGTGGCGAACTTTAAATGTCGAGCGCGCTTCTTTTGATAAAATCAAGTTGCTGTATTGAAACTATAAATTTGAAATAATGGGTCTATCATTTGATAAGGAAACAAGCAAGATCAGCCCATGGGTCTTTGAGAGACCATGATTCAGAATAATATTTATTCATCCATTATAAGTTTTAGACTCGTTGAGTTCGCTTTCATTAGATCTAACTTGTGAACATTGATCGTTAACGAATAATGAATTACAATAGTTTTCCTTATACTGAAGACATTTGTTGTTTTATTAGATGGAATATATATAGACGTTTGATTGTGTTTATTCAAATATTTTACTGATCAAGCATCTCTAATAAATTCGGATTGCTACTGTTTATACCCCTTTCTACATGCTTTTAAAGGGAAGAACCAGATCGTTTACTTTACTCTATACAAAAATTTGACTTATTATTACTATTATTGATATTATTGGGAAACAATTTAACTTAAAACTCATAGAAATTTCTGGAGTATTTATAAAAACAATAGATGATATACAGAGTATTCTATTACAGGATTTTTCAGGTGATCTCCTTCTTTTACATAAACTCAGACCGATGTAGACAAGTACCATAGATCTTGCCATGAATTGACACAAATCTTCTGCAATTGTGACAGAGTGTTTTAACCGCCCACAATTTAGTTACAGCTACAAACGCCCAACAAAGTCAGAATTATCGAGTTAACTAACTCTTCAGATTGCGTTAGCATATTTTTTTAGCGAAGACAACGGTTGAATCGAAAGAGGTGATTACTAATAACAAAAGGTGGTGACCCATCCTTTCCTCTTAACACATTCGGCACGATTTAGCAGTTTTTAGAAAAATTGTTCGAAATCAACACAACTGTACAGACTTCGACTTTGGTAAATTCTTTAAGTCACCTTTTCAATAAAACTATATCACATTAATAGACCACCACTCGACCTTAGTGTATAAAGTTAACAAATACCAAATCTACCTGTACATCAGTTACAACAGAAAAATTAGTTTCGTTAGGTGCTCAATCCCATGCTGAAAAAAACATGACTTCATAGCTATTCAGGCACTATCTTAATTTAACTGGGAAGACTAATTCTCTACGGACCACAGTCCAAAAGGGTAAAGAATCTAACATAATATTCAATCAGCCACAACACTCACACTACAGAGGACGCGGAGACCAGTTTTCCTGAGTAATCAGTTATACAGGGAGCAGAATATTACTTCAGAACCCATTCCGCTCAAGCCTAGTAAAAACCGCTGACTAGTTTTACTGAGAACCCAGCGATACAGGGGACTAAATCTTAGTTAAAAATCCATCCGGCTGAATCTTACTAAAAAGCGGCGATGGGATTTATGGAGAACCCAGTGATACAGGGTACTGAATCTTATTTATTAACGCATCCGGCTGAATCTTATTAGAGAGCGGCGATGGGGTTTATTGAGAACCCAGTGATACACGGTACTGAATCTTAATCAATAACCCACCCGGCTCAATCTTATTAAAAAGCGGCGATGGATTTTTTTGATAACGCTGTCATATAGAGTTACGAACTTTGCCTAATAACTAATGGGGCTTATCACCTGAGGGAAGCATGTTACTAGTGCTGTTGAGGAGGGCGCCCTGTAGGGTATAAGAGCTCGTAGAAAGAGCAATGTGGGTTGGATTTGTTTAGGATGATGGCCGGCGCGGATTTATATGCGTAGACTGCTCGCGAATAGAAGTCGACGCGCAACTTAAGCAGACTAAGGATTAGTTGAGCTCAGAGTGTTGCGTAATATCTTAGTATCGAGTTAGAAGAGAAGTGATAATCGGTTTTGATAGTGTATGATATGTTTTGGAGGATTTTGTATATGGTGTGAGTTTTTTTGTTTAGAAAGTCTTAGAATTATTTTTGAAATCTGAAAGCAATCGTTTGTTTTTAGCAGACTGAAAGTGTATTATATGCTGTCGTTAGATATTTTTAATGAGTTAGAAAATCCCAATAGCTGTTTGTATGATTATAGTACGTGTAAGTAGAGCAACAATTCTCGATATGAATGATATCGTTTAAATGGTATAAACTAATTACAAAGAATATAGAAGTACTTACCGTGAAATAATATCCAAGCGCAATAGAAATCCAAGGAGAATAATCGAATATACGTGTTTTAAATATAAATAAAAATAAGCAACTAAACGAATATGTGAAGAGCACACGCTTTAATATTTTTTGTACATACGATTTATTGAGGCATGAAATGTACTTTTATTTTATCCTTTTTTGTTTTATGTCATGAAAAAAACAAGCAAGCAATAAAACAGAAGTGATAATGCGTATTTTTCTTTCTTTCGTACTAAACGTATATCCCTTGTATTCATGCATAAAATATGCTTTTCTTTTTATCATTTTGTCTTTTTTTCTTTTATATCATTAAGAAAATACGCAAGCAACAAAGTAGACTGAATAATGTATATTTTTATTTTTATTTTGGTGTGTAACGCATATCGTTTATATTCAGTGTAGGTAGGTGAACAAAATATGAGTAATCGAATTGCGAGTATTCGAAAAGTGCGTACGCAAGTTGCCGGTGACCGAAATGCGAGTACTCAAATTGCTAGTAATGAGAATATGAGTAATTGATCCATTCTCTTACATTAATGAAATAGACGAAGGTAATATGATGCGTAGGCTTGTAATTGGACGATGTTTGTTTTTACTTTTTTGAGCAACTATCGTATGTTACAATTATAAAGTTCCTCAAAATGGCTATTTTCCGATAGATATAGGCGAAACATTTCATAATTTGTTTAATATAATTAGAAAACAACAGATGTCTCAAGTAACATTTTTACGATTTATAATGTCCAGGTTTGAAATTTATTTTAGATATGATATAAATTGATTCATCAAACTTTTGTTTTCGTTTAGTACTATGTCAGATGAGCTGTTTGTTGAATTTTTGGCGAGAGTATATAAGTTAAGAATTACTTATTTTCGAAAGAATATTAACATGATTTTATTGTTAGTTTAAGACATCCTATCGTAAATAATTAAAATCTGAATAAAACTGAATACATGATTTCGAATTAAAATAAAATGTTGATTATACAAGATTTATTAGAGTTTTATACTGCCCAATAAAAAGTTTTCTCGATTGAAATTGATCAAAATTGCGAAATCCTCTAGAAACTAAAGCAAATTATAGAGCTAATTATTGTCCAGATCGAGTGGTAGCCATGGAGAAATTTGAAAAATAACTGGCTAGAATACTGGTTTCATGGGATCGCCGGAACGGATTATTTTCTTAACATACATTTCGACTTCGACATGCAACCAAAGCAGGACTGTATATGATTGAAACTATAAGTTTTCAATGAATTAAAACTGATTAGAAATTAATTGTAGTTGATCTACAAGTCCTGTTTAGTCGATTTAAATTTTAATTTCATTATATATCATTCTGAATATAGTGTTTTTGTAGTACATAGTAGTTTTCATGCTATAAACAGACAAAAAAATGCTAGTTTAAAGCAGAATATACGCATAAATTCTACCTTCTAACGTCAGAGTACAACTATCTCGTTCAATCTAGTTTGAGAAACTAATTTATTAAGTGTCGAGAATTTCTTCTGACACATCTATTTTTTATTTAATACCTCGCGAATATCATGAGTTTACTATCGTCTGTAGATTAATTCAACCTGAGCTAATTCAATTTTCATTACTAATGTAACCGTTTATTTTTTTGCATTTTTATTCACTAGAGATAGTGTGCAACAAATCATAAATAAAATGGAACTAATTTGTACATAGTTCCAGTTAAGTTGATTAGAAAAATGAGGAATCATCTACTGTTTTCTTTATCTGAGCTCAGACGATTTCAATTACTACCGAAGACACATTTAATAGGAAATTTTTTATCAAGATATTTTACCAAAATATCCACCGCATCTTATTTGTGCCTTTTTCTCATCTTTGTATCATTAATATTAAGACAAGATTGAGAATCTATCATGTATAGCATACAAACAAATAAATGAAATAACGAATACTAATATTTCAGCTTAACGCTAATAAATTCTCACTATAAACGCAGTACATTTTCAGAAAAAAATATCATACGATGACGTTACGATTGAAATCATCTTTAATAAAAAAAAAAAAAAGTTGATCGTTAGTGTAGAATCATTTAACTCTTTCAGTATCTTGCCAATGTAGAAATCGACGTTTTTTTTGGTTTAATTTAAAAATCGATACATATATTTCACATTTTGTGATGTATTTACTTTCGCAAAACCATGTGCATTATAAATGTAATATAATTGCAGTGCGTAAACTGTGATAAAAATGATACGAAAAAGAATATAAAACTAATGAAGCATAAATGAAAGCAAACAGAACAGAATAAAACAAACCAACAAATATTTTTAATCGCCATCTACGCTGCACATTCTACTATCCATTTCAGATAAAAAGAATGCAAATGATAGACTATTTTAGAATTTTTCAGTAGGATATTTCCTTATACACCAACTATAATTCTAATCTTATATAACTATTAATAATGATTATAATAAATATTAATTCATATATATTTTAATGGTTTCTATTTATATTTGTTAATGTTTTCTTATATAAAAGAAATTTGTTATAAAATTATCTTAAATATTCATATTATTTTAAGACAAATTTATGTTTAGATAATTATTTAGATGAAACTATATTCATTACATTTATG